AGTTTTCTCTAGGCTAGAAACTATGAACCAGGATAAATTACTCTAAAAAGATTTCAAAATATATTAGCAGAAATAAGCATTTCATTAAAGCCAAGAGATATCACATTGAATATGGTGGCTGATCTCTCAAGATGATATCTAATAGTCATTTTTTTTTTTTTTTTTGGGGGGGAAAATTAGCCCTGAGCTAACATCCGTTGCCAATCCTCCTCTTTTTGCTGAGGAAGACTGGCCCTGGGCTAACATCTGTGCCCATCTTCCTCTATTTTATATGTGAGACACTGCCATAGCATGGCTTGATAAGCAGTGCATAGGTTCGTGCCAGGAATCTGAACCTGGGAACCCTGGGCTGCCGAAGTGGAGGGCGCGAACTTAACCACTATGCCACTGGGCTGGCCCCTAATAATCATTTTTTCAAAAGCCAAAAACATACTTTTATAATTAAGGCAGAGAATAGGTTTTTCAGTGTACTATAGTTTAAATGGATAATATTATAATTGTGCTTTCATTTTAGAGTTTCAATTAAAAACAAGAAAAAAGTGTAAGGGATATAATACCGTAGAGCTTGTGTTTATTTCAAAAGAATTAGGCAATGACTTGCTTCATATCTCAAAGACTCAAGAAAGCTACTGGAATTCTTCTTGGCGAATAAAGTGCTGTTGTCCCTTACCCATGCCTGAAGCAGAGTTTTTCTCATGCTCATTATGTGATCAAGTGATCACGTTCTTAGCTATAATCAGACTTGTCAAAACATTACAGAAGTAAGCAGAAGATTCTGGGCTTATACTTGTAGCTTGGAAAATGTACCAGTGTTATACATTGGTATAGCCAAACTACCATTTGTTAGGATGACTACAAAGTAATTTGGCTAAGAGTTTGGAAAAACATGAGTCATTTGCTGTCCCAGTTTTCTTCCCTTGAGTGTTATCACAGAGTAGTAATATATATACATGTTACAATCTGATGTAAATAAATAAAACAGAGAAGGGATGTGGGGTCGGCGGGAGACAAAGAATAGACTGTTTGAAGAACGAAAACATCAGGTTACTTACTTACATTGTAGAAGTAAGAAGGAGAACATGATGGAAGGCGTAACTACAGCAACCATTCCTGAAGAGTGGGGAAACTTGCCAGGTCAAAGCCAGGAAATTCCAAACGGTCATACATGTCTCATTCCTGAGGGGAGACAACATGAGGTTGGGTTTCATTGTAAAATAGATCACTCGCTTCACAATGGATAGAGTTGGGACTGGGGGTGAATCCTGGAAATGTCCTTATGCTATAGAATTAACAGTAAGAGGTAAGCTTTAGCACCTGAGAGGAATAAGCACAATGTCCAGGCTGCTCACTGAATTTGGAAGACACAAGAAAGTGACAACTTATCATTGCAAACACTTGGATATCATGGCCAGAGTCTCCAGTACTGATAACTTCATATTACTCATGACAAGTCAGCTCAAGTTTTTGAAATAGAAAGGAATTGGAAAAGAAAGTATAAATACCGGAAATTACATACTGCAGTAAGGAAAGAAAATGAGTGTGGGGATATGGATAGATTGACTTAGAAAAGGGCAAAGAATTCCACCAATTATGAAGGAAATTTGGTAAAGAATCAAAAGCCCACATTTATTCAAATTAAGTATAAAAGGAGTCTTTAGAAGACCAAATTAGGATAATTTATCTATTTTTAAAATTTCTGCAGAAAAATTTTAATTTCAGGTTATTTTTGCCCTGCTACTGAATGCTGTACTTGTCAGCTTTCCTGACCGTGTCAGCGAGTTCATTTGGGATCATTCTGTTTAAAATTTAGAATAAGCAAAACATTACTTACAAGGTATGTCTGCTGAAACATTTTTTGTTATCCACTACTTTGTAACATTTGCTGTCTTAGTCCATTAGGGCTGCTATAACAAAATATCACAGACTGTGTAGTTTATAAACAACAGAAATTTATTTCTCACAGTTCTGGAGGCTGGAAGTCCAAGATCGAGGCGCCACCATGGTCGCGTTCTGGGGAAAGCTCTCTTCCTGTTTCACAGCTGGCGCCTTCTCGCTGTATCCTCACAGGGTGGAAGGGCCCAGGGAGCTCCGTGGGATCTCTTTTATAAAAGCATAAATTCCATTCATGAGGGCTCCCCTCTCATGTCCTAATCACCTCCCAAATGTCCCGCTTCCTAAGACCATCAAATTGGCTTTAGGATTTCAACACACGAACTTGGTGGGACTCAAAAATTCAGACTATAAATTTGTTATTTCCCTTTATTAATGGGGCTTATCAGTCCAATGTAGAATAAACTTTAGAAAATGAAACACTGGACTAAATATATCTGGACTTAGAGTCTAGTTTTAGCTTTTTCACTTATTGGGGTATTTCCAAACAAAACCGAAACCAACCTGAACCAGTTTGCTTATCAATAAAATTCAGTATCAGATACCCTACACTTCCCATGAGAATTTTGAGAGTGAATTAGATAAAGTCGGTAACAATTGTGCTAATTCGTAAAGTACCTGTAAGAAAGAGCATAGTTAAAACTCACATATATTAAACTACTCATATTGAAAGAGATTGTATTTCAGATTAGTTAATCAGAATTGTGACAGGGTCAAGAAGAACAGACAGCAAATGGTACAACAGGTTATGTAGAGTAGACAGGGGAAAGAGAAAAAAGGTTGATATGGACACAGATGAGAGGAGAGAGGATGGAACTAGAAAGAAATATAGATGAATTACATAATATAAGGAGAAACGGAAAGCAGGAAAGGAATGGAGAAGAAAAGAAGGCCACTTACTCCCTGGGCTGGGATGTTCTACTTCCCAGCATCCACTTTTTCTGCTCTGATAGCCAAATATCCTCGTCTCCCGTCCGTACTTTTGAATGGTGACTCTTAGAGTTGGAAAGTCCTCCACCATTTACAAAAGCTGTGTTGGCCATAGTCTTTCATGCTTTTATATCCACCAAATCAGAGCCATTACTTGGGCCCAGGGCATTGATATAATATGGACTTTATTCTCATTCTCTCTTAGTTAAATCTTCCTACTTCCCCATTAAGGGACTTCATGAAGCATTCACGGTGGAGACAGCTGATTCTGACCCCAGTCTCCATCAGTCGATGAGAAATGACAACACTGAGTGTCTCCTGCCTCTTTAGTCACAGGCTGACCTAAGGCCCAAGAGAGCCCAACACACATACCCTTACCTGACTTCCTTTTTACCTTCGGTTCTTCATGGAGCACTTAAAAATTGTGCTTCTTTGCATACGTTCCAGGTGGTCAGATGATCAGGTTCATACAGCTCTTTTAAGTGTTTCTAGAACAAACAACTCAACACCAATACGGGCAGCATCTGTTTTTACTGTTTTGAGCGATTTGTCCTGTGCCTGACAAAATTTCAAGTTAGAAGCAGTTGGTCTGATCCAAGGCATATTCTAGGATTACAGAGCAGCCATAAGGACCAAAGGAAAAAGCTAACATTCCTTTTTCTCAGATTGAGCATATTTTTATTTTCCAAGATCTCCTTCTACTTTAACTCACTTTTATGTGAGATTATGGACACTTTATCTTCTTTGTCAATTCCTCCCATCTGCTTGTTAGGCTAGTTTACGGGAAGTACCTCTCTCAAGTTTTGAGCCAAACCAGAGAAAGCAGCAAGATTCAATTTCACCAGTTGTTATCTTTGTTGGTATTTCTAGCGAGAAGTTTAAAAAATCCCATTGGGAACTGTTAGTAGGGTTATTAACAAAACATGAGGTTTTCCTGGAAGTTTAATAGGTCCATCTTAGAACCCTCTTATAGCAAGAAATAGAGTTGCTAAAATGCTAAATGAACTTCCTTCACCAGGTGGTCCCACTCCAAGGACAGTCCTTTGGCTTGAGTATATTGATAAACGTCTTACAATCATATCAAGATTTCAATGATATACCATTTCTCTGACTCTACTGCAACAGAAAAATCAGGAACATATGGCATGTTTCTAAAGAAATCTTTTTTCATTTTACTCTTGTCAATACTATAAACCAGGAGAATTTGATAAGAATTTCTTGCTGATCTTGGAGGGATCCTTCATAAACTTAACACTAGAGAGTAATTTGTTAAGTTCATTCTTTTTCTTTTCCTTCTTTTCCTTGTTACTTCCTTTGTTTGCACTTCCCCCCATAACTTAAGTTAGTATTTTGAATTAAAAGATGGTCAAGGAAGTAAAATTTCATTTGAATTTGTAGTATTTTTCATTCTGTGTGGCATTTGGAAGTGAAATTATTGGGAGATGTGACAAATATCCATGAAATTCTGTAAATACTTATCCATGAAGGAAAATTCTAATGTCTATCTCCAATGTGATGGTGGACTTTAAATTGGCATGGGGGATAAGCACATGGCTAAAGCTAAATAAAATGAGTGTGCAATCATATGTGGCCTTTTACATTTCTGGTTATGAAGATGATTGTAACAGAACAAACTTCTCATGGTAAAATGAACTGCATTCGTAAAATCTGAGAAGCTTATGATGCATATGGTGGTAGGATAACATGAAGCAAACCAGACAACTACGTTTTGCCAATGTGACTGAACAATGTCTATGAATTAAGCCTTAATTTAACCTTGGTCTGACCCCTAAGAAATGCTGGTTTCTAATATGGTTATTGACGATTACATGGACTGCTTACGAAACTCACTGTGCACTTTGGAGCAAGCCACCACTCTCTTCCCTTGGGTCTCCCCTTTCTCTTCTATTAATAGGGGATAGGTGCTGGCATACCTACCTCTTAGATTGGTTATAAAGGTAAAATAAGATGTATATGAAAACTGTCTAAAGAGCAAAGAGCTGTCATCCTTAACAAATCAGGCAATTCTTTGTTCTATACTTTGGACCACATGGCAATGATGGAGATTACTGATCTTATTACATGTATCAAGAAGTGTGACACATATACACAATGGCAATGGCAACTTAAGTCTGGTACTATCCAAGAGTGTGTTTGTGTACAGAATTTTCACCAGAAAGTTTTTATAGCAAACTTTTTATGTCAGAAGTTTATTTTATTGGTAAAATATTAAATAATATACAGAATTAAAAACTGCACTTACACTTCTGAGAAGAAATAAATCTTGGACAAATTATATGCTTGTTCCTGAGATTCCCTAAATTTATTCCAGTAGCTGTGCACTCAGACAGTACAAACCTTTATAATATAATCCTTTTCACAAAGTATTACAAAGTTTCTGCAGCTTCTTCAGTTGTACACACATACAGACACACACTCACACATGCATATACGACACTCATACACATATACACAGTACCCACATACATGCACAGAACATGTATGCGTGTGCATTAAAAACAAAATACAAGTCCCACATTTTAGTCCGCAGTGATCAAACTGTTTAGCGGAGGTCTCCAAATTGGTATATAGCAGAGTGACTTGTCACACAGCTGCAAAGACTGTTTCAGTATTTCCATAGTAAACCTCATTTTCTGAGGTATAGTATTTGAGCCTTAAAAAAACTACATTACACTGAGCAAACCTGACATACAAGGTCTGGAATTTTAATTTTACATATATATTTATATATATTTTTCTGTTTTTAAACAATAGTTTTTATTTTCCCAAATTATTAGTTTGAAAAAAAAATGAGGTTTACTGGTTTGACCTATATTTTTTTTTTTTTTTTTTTGCTTCTAAAACTCAAAATATCCTAGAAACTGTCAAGCAATTAGTTTTTAAAGTAGTCTAATTACCTTTGGTATTGTTAAAGAAAAAAAATCTAAAATGGCCAAGACACATATTGTACAAATGCAGCAAATGCCTTTAAAAGAAATGTCAAAGAAATGTTATCTTTTTAACAAAATATGTATTTACATTACAGCAGTTTTCCTACAGGGACACAGGTATAAAAAAAGAAAACCAGCATACTACATATAAATATGGATGATACGAAAAATACTTCTTACTCAAATTTGTATGAAAACAGGAGTGCTCCAAATATTTCTTAAAAATTGTCTCCAATAGGTGATAGATAAGTGTTTAAAATTGACCTAAGTGCTTCGTTTTTAAAGTTCATTTCCAAAAGAGAAAAAAGAAATAAGAAAATATTAAGTTCTTAATTTAAAACAGTGGGCAAGGATCTAAGAAGAAAATTCAGTCTTTAAGAATTTCAACTGTAGGACACTTTTCTCAGGCAAAAGATGACTAATTTCAATGGAAATTTAGCCTAAATAAAGATATCATGAGATTAGACCAGTGGTTTCCACGTTCTGTAATCTTTTCACTGTGGAGTGTTTTTCACTTTGCTTGTTGCGTCCTTCAACTAACATACCATGATTTGCAAGGGTTTCTTTTTAAAGAAAGAATAGGGCAGGAAAGGAAAAAAAAAAATAACCATCGTTTTTAAGACTTCAAGGAAAGTATTGCACTTGTACAGAAAGAAAAGAAAAATATCTTTTAAACTAAATAGCAGAAGCAATCATTCTGGGATTGCAGATAACACATGGTCTAAAAGGTCCAACTATTAAGAGCAAATATGGAGCCCGGAGAGCCCCTCCAAACCTGGAATATTATCATAGTAACGTTAAAGCATTTTCTCCCAACTGGGAGACAGTTAAGACTCTTTGCTTTAAATTTTAACATCTTTCTAAAATCTTGCAAAAAGTTGTTAATCTCTCAGAACATACATTTTAGGAGGAAAACCAAATCAGAACACAAAATCTTGAGAAGAGGAAGGCAAACATACCATGTTATGATTACATAACCTCTGAAGTCATATTTTAGGTACTCAGTATTTGAAAGTGAAAGTAACACAAGGGTTATATATCTTACTATTTTTAATCCAACTACTTTTCTTTTTAATATAAAACTACACTTGAGTATAAAAATATGTCAGCAGATTATACAGCCAACAAAAATTACACACAAAAAATTAAGACTTAAGAGACGGATGAATTGGAAATAAGAGTTGACCTAATCTTCAAACTAGTAGGAGGAAAGAGAGGCAGAGACGTCCAGAGACCATGATGAAGGGAGATGGATAGAGAGGAGAAAGGAGGTGGGAGAGAGCAGACAAAATTTAAGAGATAACAAAGAACTTCCTTACACAGAGGGGCAAGTGATTTATGTTTAAAATCTGAGAGTGCTTGACAGTCAAAATGTTTTATCACAGTTTCAGAAATTGAACTACCTTAAAAAAAAAACACACAAAAGAATAAAACAACAAAAGACAACCCCCAGAATCCTTACTTTCTTACAGTGTATTCATTTTTTAAAAACCCATTTCCAGTAAATTAAATTAAGCAGAATCCTGATAAGTGCATAGTAGGGGATTCAGTGACCTCCACCCGTTCTAGAAGCGTTTCTTACTGTGTGTCACTTGAGGTAATTGGAAGAGCCCGATGAACTGCAAACTGGCTTATCTGTACCTATATGAAGTTATATGCTGTACTCTAGGTGGCTTAGCAGAGGGCCTCGAGATTTTATATTTTATTCACAATAAAAAGGACATCTTAGAAAACTAGTCATTCACGTACCACTCTCTGTTTGAGATAAAGGTTAATTCACAACAAATTTATACAGAAAATATACAAATGCAATGTTATGGGAGAAAAACCCCATACACAGAATTAGGAACTTATTTCTAAGAGTGCCTGTGAAAAATATCCACAAACTTACAGTACAGCAAGAGAAAACTAAAAAGCTAGAAATAGAATGTGACACAAAAACCTTATGCAAAGACCAAAATTTTAGGTTTCTGCAATAAATGGAAAAATATTCAAGGTGTCATTATTTGGCCTAGCAATATACTAGGATAAAAAGAAACACTAGCATATCACAGCTTCTTGGTCATATGACATCTGCTTTGTATAACAAACGGCTTTTTTTTTTTTTTAAAAGCTGTCATATCCTAACACATCCACTGCAAGTAATACACAACTATTTAGAAAAGCATTTGAAACGATGCCTTGGAGAACAGCAATGGGACGTGACTGTTCAGGTTTGTTTTGTTCCAGGAGAATCAATTACTTGCTTCTTTACACTATTCCATAAAATGTTAACAGATTAGAAGACAGAGGTTCTAAGACTAGTGCAAAACTAGTCTGCAGATGAAATTCCAAAACAATACTGTATTTTATTGACCCCAAATTTCGCTAACAGGGACTTGTAGGATACTATAACTTATTCTTCCTTAAAAATAAAACAAAAACACATACCATAAAGCAATTCGCAGCGAAAATCCCCCTCTACCTCATAATTTACCTGCATAATCTTGTCATGTATTCAGAAATACTATCGAACTAAAAAGATATTAAAATCTGGTTTCAAAGTTTCCTTTTACTTGTAACAGGTGAGCTGAAAGTTTCTGGACTGAAAATTCCTCTAACAGTTTTGCCCTAAGTACATGAAGATGAATTATGTAGTACTCAATTTTAGTGATTTTTAAAAATACATAATAAAAGCATTGTAGAGCTACAACAGGTAACCAACACTCTCTCAATGCATTTTAAAAAGGCACCAATTATAAGTATTTAATACATTAAATTCAGGATCTTAGGAGACCAGTTACTGTATATTTTAATTATTTTGCAGAAACTGGAGGTTTAAAAACATTTCTAAGATAACTTTCATATATACAAACTTCAATTTCACCCCCACTCTTTTTTTCGTTTGCATTTGTGGAATTTTCTGTTTTAGCATAATCTTCATACAGATAGTACAAACTAAAATAATATATAAATATAACCAAAGATGACCACAAATGTAACTTATCCCTTTTCGTAAAATGAACAACTCCAAGTTAAAAAAATAACGTAGACAGTACCTTTTATAATCTAAGCTCTGTCTTGAAACTAGGGGCATACAGTTTTTTGTTTGTATTTTTGCAGCCTTTTCTGTTCTTTTTTTCTACATTAAGGAATTATTTTGGAGACAGAATGAAATAAGTAAAACATAATTTTTGAAAAATAAGTAAAATATAACTTTCATCTAAATGCCTTCACGGATGTAAATTCTGTCAAACATTTAATAAAATATCATAAAGACTTCATGGTTTTGTGAGGTGTACAACTGAGACACAAAAACTATAAATAAAAACAATATCAAGCTCACTAAAATATTCTTATCTTTCGCCATTTGCCAACAAGTGAAACTTGATAATTTTTCTTTTCTATATCTTCCTGTTCAAAAGTAATTTGTGTTTCTTTCACTTTGGAGGTTATATCAAACCAGCTTAAAAATCTCTTTTTATAAGTGTTTTGATTTGTTCTATAAGTAGACAGTAAAGACCCCAGGTTTAAATTTAATAGTTGTGACTAGTCCTAAAGACACACTGGTAACTTCTTCAATATTTCTTAATACAATCTGGTAAAGTAAACCTACTAAACTGCTCAGGTATTAACTATAATTTTAACTCTCTATATACCCTTGCAACACATCCGTTCACTCTAATTCCTTCTTTTCAGGAATTTTCTTTACAAGAATGTGTGTGTGTGTGTCTGCATAGTGTGTATGCATACACACTATGATGCATACATATAATTGCTTGTATGTATGTATGAGAGACACTCCCTACTCTGTAGCCAAATCTAAATCCTACTCTCTCATTCTCCCATTTTGTCCCTCCAGAAAATTCTCAACGGAATGTTTCAACACTGCAATCTCTTCCAGTCTGCTTATTGGTCACGGTCACTGTTTTAAAAAGCCAGATTAGAATGGTTTTTTAAAAGTGATTGACCACTATTAGAGACAGCACACTTCTCCAATAGCAGCTGGAGATAAAATTCTGGGCAAAATCAGGGCAAAGCAATGCGACGAATTTCTGCATTTTTGTCATACTGGAAAATATAAAGGCTAACCCACTTTCACTCCCCTCAAATACTCTGTAATGTGAAATCTCACCTAAATAAACTGGGCATGTTAACTGTTATGTAAAACTTGATTTATTTGGTGTCTGACCCTCATATTTAAGTGCTGCCACTTTGCATATTTCCTTTTGTGAAGAAGAGGCATGTAAATGTAGCCGTCCAGAGTTTCCCAGAAAGCACTGTGTCCACAAAAATTCTCTCTAACCTACACATTTGAATTGACCTTGTCCTCATTTGTCCCTGCCACACCCTGGGCCATCTTTACCTCTTCCTGTTCCTCATAGCATGAAGCCAAGAAAGTACAAGTATACACTAGTAGCAAACACTCTTACAAATATTAAGTCCCTTCAATAAAACAGATTCCAAACAAGATGAAATCAGAAAAAAAAAGAATGCATTAGTACTGTCTTCATAGGGGTTCTACACAACTCTTTAGGTCCATCTAAAATCAGTTTCATCCCCGGGGAAGGTAGGTACATGATTGTTCATACACTGAAAAAAAGTAGTAAGTGGGAAGAAAATTCATAGATGATGCCAGCAGAAATTCACATATAGCCAAAGTTATGAACATACTGACTGCCATCCAAATGTTTCCTTAAATTGTAGCAAAACTCAAAACCACTAACCTTAAATTATTTACCTTCCTCCCAAAGGAAAAAAAAAATACGAAATTCCAATTATTTCTGAGTGGTTAGAGTGAGGGAGCCACAAAGACATGCTTTACCTCTGAATAAATTGTATGTTCACACTGTACCAATGTACCAAAGCATGCAGAAAAAAAATGACAGCCGACATTCTATTTAAAACATTTCACATCTCTGTTTTGGTGCCTTCTCTTAGATTTAAAGGAAGGGTTTGTATATCTCTTCAAAAATAATTACAACAGGGGCTAGTAAGAGAGAGCTGAGTTGTAACCATTTTGCCTAGCTCTAGCTGTGTTCATGCTTAGAAATCACTTCAATAAGCAGATGATAAAATAGAAAATGAGTGAAGACCAGTATTGGGGCCAATATTGGATATTCGCTTCTCTCTCCATAGCTCTCTAGTCTTGCTAATTCTCACATCATTCTGTATTAAGAAACATACTTTCAGCATCCTATTTAATGATTTTTTTTTTAGAGCAGTTATCAGTTAACTGCTTAACAGAATTTCAGTATTCGTAAATGGGTATCAGATAATCCAGTCATGGTCAGGTCTGGCCTCCCTTATAAGCAGCCAGCTCTGCCTCCATGTGTGTCTCCCAAAATGGCCTAACAATCTCACTCATTCCTCCCCTCTAATGCTGTTGGACTGCAAAGAAAACACAGAGCACCCATATAAATGAAATGAAAATCTGCACAGGAAATATGGCAACACAGGTATAGACTAAAGGAAGAGAAATTCTGTACTAAGGGATTGAGAGTCACCTCTGAAAAGGACTTATAAATAGTTGAATGTTTTTGAGACAGAAAAATGGTCAGGACATGGTCTCTTTGACTTGGGGGTTCAGACACATTCTAGACTCCAAGCAGGGTGAAAATAAGCTTCATTTTTTTTGTTTGTTTTACGTATAGTCCAACGTACAGGTTACAAAGTTCCCTTTCCTTGTACCAAAAGTGGTAAATATTATTATTGAAGAAATACAAGAATAAATAGCCCGAGTTCTGTAACCTTATGTGGTTCAAGTTACCACATTCAGGTCAAACTAGCAATTGCGCTGAGATTTTGAAAGAAATAGCCGACAGCAAGATTTTTAAGACCTTCCACTCGAAGAGCAAAAGATGAATGGACTATGGACAGAACATTGGGTGGTTACAGCTTAAAGAAACCAGTGAAAAGAGAAATACCAGAAAAGGGATTTCTGAGTGGGCTTTTTTCCCCCTACTGTTAGCCTAATTATATTTTTCTGCTGACTGGTTAACACTGATTAAATGCTGATAAAGTGACAATTGTAAGTATACTTTCAGAAACAAATACGTATACTATGCTGCCATCACATTACAACTTTAAAAGAAAACTTCCCAAATTTATGAAAAGTAGAGGTCCCTTCTGGAAACTACTGACGGCCTCTTGGCCACTCTTAGACCACATGTTATTCTGAAAACTAGATAAAAATACTATTCATTAAAGGTGTTCAAAGTAAGGCTGCCAGGGTGTCTATAAAATGCCAGTCATCAAAACTATGGAAAAACAGTGCTTAGGTTTAGAAAAATAAGATCATCGGACCTCAGATGTACTGTAGGTGTCCTTAACTACCTGGAGTTGAAAAGTTTTGCTATATGGTACAGTGTATAACATACCGCATTACAAATTCCATAGGGGAAGTAAACTCAGAACCCACAACAACAACTCATCTGTGGGGTTATCACTGAAAATACCAATGTGTTTGTGTTCCATGATCTCTAGAGGAAAAAAAAAAGTTGACGTTTTGAAACGAATTCTTCTCTGAAGAGTAAAATTACTTATGCTGTTTTAAACTGCAAAAGGCCTACCCAGAATAAACTTTCCTGCCTTCAATCATCATCCTGAACATCAGTGGCAAATTAGAATCTCTTAGGTAAGTCGTTACGAATCAAGTGATTTTTTTTTCAAAGCACGATATGCCTTATATCTACGCATGGCAGAAATGAACCGCTCTTAAATTCTCACAAAATAAACAAGCCGAGTTATCAAGAAACAATATCCCCTGTCCCTTCTCTCTTCTGTTTCTTCCTTATGGTAATTAGGCAGAGCAAATGACAGTGTGTCCACAAAATAAGAATTAATAATAGTAATAATATTAAAAAAAAGGTATGTCAACATCCGAGGGAAGGTGGGATTGTAAGTGCAGTATTTCTTCATGTGCAGTTCATTACTTCATAGGGGTCCCCGTTGGAATGAAAAGGCCTAGTGGAATGTGTGCTCCCCTCGAACAATGTGTGATGAAAACTCGTAACGGTCCTGGCTTCTGTAGCCACAGATGTTGCATTCCAGTGGGTCCCGGTAGCCATGGCAACCCATGTGAATGGTGTACATGACATGGTCTAGGAAAAGGACTCGGCAGTGCTCACACTTGAAGGCCCTAATCTGTTCTCCTTCTCCATTGAAGACCTTGTAGATGTCCTTCAGAGAGCCCTTAGGAGCCTTGGTGGCATCCAAAGCCTTGACATCCTCCTTCATGTAAGCTGGGCTTTGTTTCCTCTTGGGATTTAAGGCAGGGTTTCCTTGGTAGGACTGGTGGTCATCATGGCTGCTTTCTGAGTCAGTAGAATCCAGACAGCTATTGCTGGGAGAGGCCTCTCTTTCCTGGGGTCGACTCTTTGGTCTGATGAGAGAGATGGGGCCATCCATGTTGTTTTCATGACTATCGGAGGTTTCCCTGCTAATAGGTCTTTCTATCCTATTTGGATGATAGACCTGAGAATAAGCTGAGCTTATGACTGGGGCCACCTCAGCGATTGTGCTTGGCGGGTGCTGCATCAGAGGGTGAAGGGCCTCAGCTCCAAGGTAGGTGATTGCATTGTTGATGGCTTGGTCCATCATATGAGACTGCATCAGCTCAGCCTCCTTCTCATATGTCAAGTTCATATCAAAGTGAATGTCTGGGTAGCTGAACCGCATCAGCTTTTCCCCTGAAAGGGAGAGGGAGAGAAAAGCAAAAACAAAAAAAAAGAATACAACAAAATGAGTGACTCGATTAAAAATATAAAAACACAAAGTTAAATAATCACCTCCATTTTCCTTAATATGGTATATTTTATCCTTTAGATCAAGTATTGGGGCTCTTTAATTCTGCTGAGACACACAAATACTCTTCACCTGCAAAGAGGATTAGTAATAAAAATTTCACAAGCCATTTGCACTTGTTCTAATGTCATCAAGAGCATGCCTCTAGCCTGAAAGGCATGATGAGTGTGTTGTCTTATTTTCATTCTCTATTAAAATTTCCGCTTGTCTAGAGCTCAGTGACTACAGGAGCAAGAAGAAATACCAGGTGAAAACATGTCAGAGACTATGCTTGCATATTTTAACATCAGTGATCAAGCCACAAAGGTCACAAAAGCGAGAGTGATTTGGTTATAATGTCTGTCACCTCACTGTCGTGTAATGTTAACTTGGTTGATTTAGCAGCTATATTACAAAAAAATTATAGAACCAATATATGTCATTCTGGAGAATTCCAAAAAGTCACTATTAAAATACTGTTAAAAGTTGTATTGTCTGATAAATTGGATGAAATTTAGGGCTATGTAAAAATAAGAGTCATTTCCAAAAGTAATTACTTATGAACTTGGAAAATATTATGTTTGTTTTATTTATTGAAAGGGATAATTATTCATTTTTATATCACCCCTTTCTTATTCAGACATGGGTATACCCATCATTAGTTTTCCACTTTTTCTTGATTGAAGGATGTTTGAAGTTTTCCCTTTAATATTTACTTCAACAAATTTAATTTTACTTCAATATTTTAATTTAATATAATATCTAAACATTAACTATAAAAGAGCTTGGTGGGTAAAACAAGAGAAGTAATTTTAATTTTTCTCCTTCAAGTATTGCCAGCTTTGGACAGAATATTTTATCTTTTCAAAATTCTGCTACTAAAACAATGTGGTCTCCTACAAATTACCTAGTTACTCTGATAGGTAAATCTTACAGATAAATTCTTAAAAATATATGTGGACCTAAATGTTTAGTATGTTGTGTAGATGGATGGCTAAGTTGTAATGTTGACAGGAAATGTTGATCCACAGAACTGCATCCTGGAAAAGCACTTTCAGGTAGTTAGTATTATTTCAGGTTTGAAGAAAGGTCCACAGAGGGAGATTAGGGTAATGATCAGAGTGACGAAAATGGAAGGAAAAAATGGTGAAAAATTATCTCATGGCATTCAACTGAAGACACTGCAATGTCAAGAGTTTAAAGGTTAAGCTAGACAAACCTAACCTATATTCTCAAGGAGCTACAGTTTAGAGAGAGCGACAGCAATTTAGGGATCATTTATAATACAGAGTGATACGTGCTATGGGGTCAAAGAAGAGGAATACATAACTCATATGAGGGGAGTAAAAGAAGACTTCTTGAAGGAAGTGGCATCAGAGATAAGAATGTGATGGCAAATATTAGCCAAGTAAAGGAATGTGGGGGTGGAGCAGCTGGTCGGAAGGCTTAGAGCCAAGAAGGCTTAGAGCATGACTTCTTCAAGGGAGTACTTATACTTCAATATGGCCGAGAGCGGAAATAGATGAGAAAGATGAAGTCAGATAACATAGTTCTCATTCGACAGCTAAAGAATTTGAATTCTATCCTGAGGGCCACAGGGATTGAGGGGGTGAAACAGGGAAGTGACTTGACTAGATATTTATTTAGCAAGATGGTTTAGAAAGTTGTTGCTGTAGGAGATCACGGTAGCCTGAACTAGTAAAGTGGCAGTGGAAACGGAGAAAAGTCAATGGAATGAAAGGAAGTTTAGAAAATATAGTTGCTAGGGCTTGGCGATTATCTAAACAAAGAGAAGGAGAAAAAGAAAGAAATTAAGCATGAAGCCCAGGTTTCTAGCTTGGGAAACTTATTGGATGACAATGAGATAGGAAAGATGAAGAATTTGGTTTGGGGAAGACTATAAGTAATAGTTATGCCAATAAGTTCTTCGATACTGTCTCATTCAGGAGCGAGATCTGGGCTTGAGATGTAGATAAGAGAGTCATCAGTTGATAGAAAGTAACTTCTGAAGCGACGGGAATAGATGATATCACCCAGGCTTAGGTAAAGTGTGAAGAAGTGAAGGTCAAAAATAGAACCTGGGAGAACATCAAGATTTTTATGCCTGTCTAGACAGGGTAAGGGGGAATCCTGCCTTCAGCCCCATGTTTAGAGAGTTCTGGACCTTGCTTCTCATGGAATGAGGAATGTGTAGGGCCAAGGGAATGTGCCTATCTGGAGTTTAATTCCCAGATCATACTCTGGATACCCAGGGCTCTAGATTTCCTTGCCAAATAGCTCTGAACTTCACCCAGGGTCAGCACGGTCTTTTTTATAGGTCCATCCTCCTGAGTACCAATTGTGCTGCTGGTATGCACACACTTAGGCCTGAGAAATAGCCAACACACTACTCTTTATGTGCTGTGTGTGGAGGGCAATGTGAAAAGAACTTGGACGTGCAGGCTGAGGTGTCTACACAGGTGTGCATGAGGCTCCTTTTGGTACTGGACAGAACCAAAAGTGGGTCTAAGAAAGGGGCCTGGCTCCAGGCCAGGGCGTGGGCCTGCTCATGCTGCCAAGGTCTCCTGTGAAATTGCAAGGAACCTGAGAATTCTATATTTATTTGAACTCAGTCTTCCAAGTTAGAAAGGTGGAATAGCAGTTTTTCAGCTTGATTTCTAATATTAAAATACCTAGGCATAGAAATGAAGGCCTCCATTAGGACTTTTGCCCTGTTTGCATAGCTGCTAGGGGTAATCTGTAAAGACGACTAAGAAGGGGCAGTCAGAGAAGCTGGAAGAAATTCAAGAGAGATCAATGTCATAGAAAGCAAGGAAAGACAATGTTTCAAAAGGAATTGACTATTCCATAGTGGCAAATGCTCTCTAAGAGTTGTGTGAGATAGTCTAAAAAGGGTCCACTGGATTTGGCACTATGGAAGCCAGTGGTGACCTTAATACGTATAATTTCAGTGGAGCATGGGGAAGACAGCCAGGTTGCACAGAGTGGGGAACGAGTAGAAAGAAAGAAATTATGGAAAGCAAGCATAGAAGACTCTTTCAATAACTCCATCTTTCAAGGAGAAAGTAGGTAGTAGCAGAAAGGGGAGTTGGGTTCGAGGGAAGATTTTTTTTAATGATGAGAGTTTATCACCTTAAATGCTGAAAGGAAAATGCCAATAGAGGGGGGGATTGAAATATAAGTGAGGAAGAGGAAAAATAATAGTGTAACGTATTTGGCGGGCTGGGATAGGAGAATTCCAGAGCACAAGAAGAGGAATTAGCCTTAATCAGAAAGAGGGATACTTCTTTCATTGAAACAAGGAGAAAACAAGAAAGTATTCATGTGGAGTCACATAATCCTACAGGATTAGTGATATTATATTGAAATCATCTCAACTGACTTTATTCCCTGTGACTCTAGATATAGTATCATGAAATCGTGAGGTACCATGTTTGTGGAGAGTAGAGAAAGGTTGAAATGGCCCTAGAGTTGAGTGGGAAAGAGACTATTTCGGAATGGATTAGGAGGGCTGCTACATAGTATGGATGGGACAACTGATATTTAAGATCATGTATTCATTTATTTATAGTGACATCAATTCGTAAGGCTCTGGGATTTTCTCCGAAAGTACTATGTAGGTATGGAAAACTTGCTCAGTTGGTTTCACTAGAGAGTGGGGTTTCACCAGGAGAAGGTGACAGAAGGACAACAAAGCAAAAGGGTCAAGAATAGTGGTAATAGTGACGAACCATGGAATCTAAGCTGGACGAGAAAACAGAGGAGGAGACAAAAAGATGTGCAGAAAGTTCAGGGATCACTGGCCTGGAGGGCTTGATAAGGTCCAAGAGCAGCATTTAACTGAGGGACATGATAAAAAGGAATTTATGGTAAGTGTGGAATGATGAAATTTTTTGTTTCAAAAGACATCATAGAGACAGTTACTGTGTGACTGTTTGTTACATATATTACTACTAGGGTAGAACCCAAATAAAGAAAAAATACCATCAAAAAACACCATCATTTATTCCTAATAAAAATCCTAATGTTTCTACATTAAAATCAAAATGTAATTTAGAAAAATATGTCCCTCTTTTCTAAGGAATGTAATGAAATCAAATTGAGAATAGCATCTCTAAGTCATAGGAGACACGAAAATGTTACAAAGAGCAGAACTAAATAAAATCAAAAGACAAAAAGAATAATAATAAATTTCATATTTTCCCATCTACACTAGTGTCTAGTTGAGATATAAGCATTTAATGGACATCCATCAAATTAATCAATTTAAATAACAGATGAAATGGAATTTTAAAAAATAGTTATTTATAAAAAGGAAGAAAGAAAAGTTACCTAGGGCCCAAGGCAGGCCTTTGAGTGTACTCCCAGGGGCTTTAAACCCACATATACATATAGTATAAACTGTGATCATTAGGGTTACTTTTTAGCATTTTTTTAATGAGCTCTGTCAATAAATCTCTCCAGCTTGTCTTAAAGTTATATTCCGGTGATTTGTTAGTTCTTCAATTTTAGATTGAAACGAAATCTTCTCTAAGTGTTTATTGGAGTAATAGAATTTTATTACTCTTTCCTCCCTGAAATAACCAAAGAGAAGATTTGCTCCTAGTCACCCACATCAGGAGGTTCCGCAGGAGGTTTGACACTAGAATGTGAGAATCTGTTTGAATATTTTCATCTCCTCTAATTTTTTACCCTTATAAAGTCAAAAGCATAGATATAACATTTAAAATTAATGACAATTCTTTATGTAGAATCTCTATTTTTCATACATTGTTTTAAAAAAATTTTAAAAATAATGAAAGCAAAGATCAAAATATGAAATATACATCCAAGTATGAAACATCTTGAACGTAGGCTGCTGCATTAGTTTTCTAATGCAGAATTTTGAAAAAAGAAAAAACAAAAAGATTTCTCTTCATTCTAGATCAAAGAGTAAAAGCATTAATATCACGTAAAGAAAACCGTTTAAAAAACCTGGCACTAATGCAGATTTAAAAACAGATTACAAGACTGGCTTGTAGGCTACACCATTTCCCTTAAGTATTACGACTTTTTTTAAATAAATGAACATTTTATTTTTACATGCTATTTCACTTTCTGTATCATTCCATTTTGAGATAGCAACTTAACTTCTATCAGTCTTTCCCTTGTTTTTCTTTCTTAGGCCCATATGCCTATGGGTGTGTGTGAATGTGCGTGTGTGTGTGTGTGCATGTGTGTGAGTGTGTGACAGTACGGTACACATGAAGTGGCATAACGTAGAAAAGAATAACAGAGAAAAGCGATGGGTATTTATTTCACGAACTGAAATACACCATATATAGTTCTAATACATGGGAATATGTCTTTGCCCATTAAAATCACCCTTTAAAGAAATAAGAGCATTTGCAATGCTTACCCACAAACTTTTGTGGAGTGGAGCTTTTACGTTTTCCCATATTCCCCGTGAGCTTCTCTATGACAGCAGGTCTCTCAAAAGGCACCAGAGAAATATTGTTGTCCATAATAGGCTCTTGTTCCTTACAATCTTCCATAGGAGGTACTATATAAAACCATACAAAAATGCAATCTGATAATTTCTCCAACATTTTAGAAGACAGAGACCTGGATTTGCCATGTCAATATGTGTTATACAAACATAAACTAGTATGCTTGAGTAAAGCATATAGAAAAAATAACCTCTAGTGTTACGATGCACACTCTAATTTTACACGCATACACACACACACACACACACACACACAGGACTTGTTTTTATCCTAGTCTCTCTCAGATCAATGACATAAACTGTTGTCACTATTGGCGGCAAACATGTTCATCTTGCTTCTCATCTTATTCCTCTGAAAGTGTTTTCAACATTGATTAAAATCAATACTACTTTAAGACTGCACTATTCTCAAGGCTTTTGGAGTTTATTTTTCTAAAAACAATTTAAGTCAGTCAACTTGTTTTGGAGGAAAGCTTAAACAGACACACAGAATAACAGCACAACATTCAACCAGTTTTTTTTCACTCGCGTATTTTCCTGTAGCAGATTTCCTATTTGATGAGCTGAGAGTAGCTGTGAGTCCTGCTGGCAGTAGTTGAATACCTGCACAAAGCAGCCTTCATGAAGGAGACGCAGTTCTGAACACGTCTGTGCATAGTCAACCGTGGCAGCTTTATGACTGTAATTTATTTTAAAAAGCGCTCTTCAGCAGGATAAAAAAACCCATTTCCAAATTGGCATATTTGCTCACTAAACTGCTGCTCTAATTCATTCGACAAATTCTCCAATGCTGCTGCTCCCTCTTCATCCTATTGGCCAAGTTGCTGTGGGCTCATATATTAGCTCATAGATATTGACTTTAGATATTGACATTCATTGTGTAGATAAAGAACTTATAAAAGTTGTTTTTGAATAAAGATGTTGTCAAAGGATGTTTAAAGATAGAGTAACATCTGAGATAGATGAGATCAGTTGATTAAAACCAATGGTCACAGGAAAGACCATAACTTTACTTCTTGATGATTGTTGCTTTCTCCAATTGCATCTGTGCTAGTTCTGTCTGGAAACCCCAAGGTTTCATATCTTAGGATATCTTTATTTGTTGAGCATGCACTGTAAAATGATTTATTCTCCTTTCATTTGTAAAGGATAGTTCCACTGTGTGAAACACAATGCATTCTCATTTAAAGGGTGGACATTAAAATAAAGTGAGAAAGCAAGAGATGCAAGTTAAAAAAATCTAGTGCACAATTCAGGTGACCTATTTAATAACTAACACAGGTTGCTGGTTTTGAAGAAATGAAAAATGGCATCAGAAAAATGTTTGCCTAATTTGGACATGTTTAAAAAAATCAACGTTCAATCTAAGTTTTGGGTTAACCCAGTATAGTCCGTTGGATGGGCCAGAAAAATTTAATCTCCAATCTCTATTCTATAAGAAATCCTCTGGTTATGAATGGCAAGGGATTCTGCAATTATTGGACGTTAATTTGGAAACAGAATTCCAAGATGAGATTCAGAAACAAGGAAACGCTTAGGTCATTTTCTATACTGATATAATTCATGATATTATCAAGTGGAAAAAGTATGTCCCGAGATATTATGTAAAACATTATATCCTCTCTTAGCAACAACTAAAATTAAAAAAAAAATACTTAAAAAGAAAAGCAAATAAAGGATGGCCACAGAATTCAAATACGGAGGGCTGGGAGGATGGAATAGCAGTGGTGATGTGGTAGAGAACCACGTAATTCGATACAGATTATTGTCAAAAATCTTAACTTTTGTTTTGGGTTATAGATTCACAGGCCCTTATCACATTATTCAAAAACAATTATATAACTGAAAAACAGGCCATGTATGGACCAAAGAGGAAAATATGTCACAGACCAAGATCCAAAATGAAAGAAGGAAAGAAAAAAAAAGTTTGTTGTAAATTTTGCCAAAAAACAGCAAAACTGGTTAACAGGGTTTGCCCCAAAATTGAATATACTAATTAGTTTTGAAATGAGTCGTCTCAAACTTGGCAGTTTTGCTCTAAGTCTCACCTTGAGTTTTCATATTTGCACACATTTAACACTCAGAACGAAACCTGGGTGTGGGAACTGCCCCACACCACATCCACCTCAATTCAGATGATCTGTCCCAAGTTCAATGAAGCTCATGTGAACTGAAAGCGATGACTTTGGCAGAGCTCTGGTCTAACTTCTCCTTTACGACAGCTCTTTACATATCAAATATTGATCTTGTTTCTACCATATTGGCAATAATAATAATAATAACAACAACTGACGTGTTAAGTACTGTTTTAAGGCTTTACATTTATTAATTCATTTAATACTTTCAACAAGCCCCTGAGATAGGTACAATTACCATCTCCATTTTACAGATGAGGAAAAAAAAGGCGCAGAGATGTTAAGTGATTTCCTCAGCATTTACATCCAGTGAATAGGGAATACATGAGTTAGACCTGATGGTCTGACTCCAGAACCTGGGCTCTTAGCCACCACGCTATACTATTCTTTGTAGACATAATTTGAGTGTTGACTTTTTATAAACAAGTTTGACAACTATTTAAGGTCTGCCATTGGGAAAAGATCTATATACATTTTCTCAATTATGTAACCAATCTGAGCTTTTTGCTTTCATGGATCTGGGTGCAACTCACCAAAATGTTTCCGGATATATATCACTTGAAACACCAAACAAGTTCTCCAGTTAACTCATAATGCATTAATCACATAGTGAAAGAGTCATCTAGGCTAAGAAAATACCAATATGCTAACTTCACTTGTTAGAGCAAACTTCACAACCAAGTATCTTCCTTGACCTTATTTTTGAAGTTATAACCAGGATAAAAATTTATGTATACTGGCATTATTTCATTATCTCACCACACTGCTAAGTCATCAAGACAGAACCATACAAGTTTTTCGAACATAGCTGTATTACCAAACAATCCACTCAAATTTCAAATTCCAAAAAGACACAAGTCTGAGGGTCCTAGATTATGTCACACGTCCACCCCCTGGCCAGGAGGGGGCAGGGCACCTAGATTGACTGTCTTGTCATGTCTTCACAGAAGACAGTTCTCTAAAGGACAATGGAAGTCTTGTTATCAAAAGGAGGAGGAAGGTATGTAGGGCAGGCAAAACAACAGGTATCCTCTATATTGTCACAAACGTTCTCCATGTTGCTGAATCTAAAAGAAACTTTTCAGTTATCTTAGTTATTTTCTTGACAACCTTGGACGGTGCTGATACTGCTTTGGCTCCTGTGAAATCACTCTTTCCATTTTCCCATTCTCTGCTCTTACTCATCTTCATGGCACTTCTTTTGTTTTGGTTTTTTTTTTTCCTGCTGGTGTGTTTTTGGGCTTCTAGATGTCTCACTGTATACTTACCCATATATCTTCTGAAACCTATTCCTTCAGGCTGCTACTTATATAATGATGGCTCTCACAGCTGTATTTCCTATCCCAACCTCTCTTGAGAGCTTGAGATCTATATATTCAATGTCTTCCTGTCTCTCACAGGTACTTAAAAGATAGTATGTTCAAAAATTGAAATCTTGGGCCGGCCTGGTGGCGTAGCAGTTAAGTTTGCGTGCTCCACTTCAGCGGCCTGGGGTTCACAGGTTCGGATCCCAGGCGTAGAACCACGTACTGCTTATCCAGCCGTGCTGTGGTGGCGTCCCATATAAAGTAGAGGAAGATGGGCATGGATGTTAAGCCCAGGGCCAATCTTCCTCACACACACACACACACACACAAAACAAAAAACAAAGAACCCTGAAATCTCCATTTCCTGCCCCAAACTTTCTCCTGTTTTCCTAATTTCCATCTCAGTGAATGGTATTGCTATCTACCTAGACATCCATTCTAGTCAACTGTGGCAAATCCTAGATTTCTTCCTTTCACCCACTCTCCTGTCCCTCCTCCTCCCTGCTACCTCTCCTTATAGACACACGGGAGTACCAAGTGTTTTAGACTCTATAGTTGCTTTCAATTTCTAACTTTTCTGTATATTCGAGGCTACTGAGCCCAACCCGACCAATCTGGAGACTGTTACAATGGTCTACGTGCCTCTATCTTGACTCCTCTGATCTATCTCCTCCATTTCTAGCAATAAAATTTTAAAGCAACAATGTTTTTTAGGATAAAGTACAAAATTCTTTGGTTAGGACAATAGGCCCTTGATGCTCTCCTCACAGACTATTTCTTGAGCCTTATTGCCTTCCAATTTCTCTTGCCCTTACAAACCGGGCTCTAATTATACACAGCTCTTTGTAGATCCTTAACCCACCATGCTCTTTTAGAGTTCTATTTCTTCACACATGCTGTTCTCTCTGCATGAAACACCATTCTCTACTTATTTAGCTGGCTATCTTGCCTTTCAAAACCCTACTCAAACATAACTTCCCCAAGAAATTCTTCTTGGACATCCAGTCTGATTTAGATATCTATCCTGTATGCCCCTATAATGTGCTCTAACTGTTCGTTTATTAGTCTGTTTCCTCCAATAGTTGGTAAGTAAACTTAGGTTAGGGAGTGCATTTTTATTTGACTTTGTGTCTATAGTATTTTATGATGAGAGACGAATATAATATTCAATGGATGTTTACTGAATGACTTAATGAAGGAAATGTCACCCAATGAAAATAAGTCAAAGAAGCTTACTAGAAAGTTTATATGTTCTCAATTATGTCTCCATGCTTGCATTATAAACTTCTCTTTCTCCAATAATTCAAAACATAAACCTAAGAATATGTATTCTTGCTTTCAAGTTGGTTATCTTTCTGGTTCACACTTTCATTTTTGTTTCCAGGCAAGGGGGAAAAAGCTAATTATATACCTTGGCTTTTAAAGCTTTTTCTTCAAGCTGAACAGACTTGAAAAATTAGCTGAAAGACAACTTTTAAATAAGATAATCTGCCATAAAATGCAATTCATTATTATCTTTATTTCCAAAACTACAAGTAATGAATTTCCTCCCTTTCCCTCAAAGTCAAGAACTTTTTATTCTTCCTCCTAAACATGTCTTCAGTATTTCATCCTGTTCTCTTCTCCTGCTACTGCCTTTTCATCTTCTCCGTGGCATTCTCAATTCAAGTCTCTCCTTGCACTCCATCAGGCATCTATTCTATATTCTATGTTGGTGACATTTTTTTTTTAGAAGACACAAATTTGATTACCTCAATGACATTCAAACATTGGATTAGCATAAGAGGCTCTATCTTTGCAGCACAATCTACTATTTAAGTCTTATTTGCTACTACTGCTTTAACTCCAACTATGTTCAACATCCAGGAACGTGTTAATGTTCTTTTCTACCTCCAAGTCTTAGCCTACGGCAACTTCTCTGCCTGGAGTGTACATTCTCTGTGAATCTGTCCGATTTATGCAATTTTTCTCACCGTCATGTACAGATCAAACATTGTATGTAAGAAACTTCCCTTGACCTCTCCAGACAGGTCAGTTCTGCCTCTGTGTTCCTGAAGAAGGGTATTTATGCCTTTATTAGAGCATTTGTTTCATTTTATTTTTTAATTTTTTTTATTGTGAAATTTTTGTTGTACATTATTGTTTATCAGTCACCATATAAGTGCATCCTCCCACCCTTTGTGCCCACCCCCCAACCCCCTAGCCCCTGGTAACTACCAAATAGTTCTATCTGTCCATGTGTTGGTTTATCTTCCATATATGAGTGAAATCATGCACTGTTTGTCTTTCTCTTTCTGGTTTATTTCACTTAACATAATACCCGCCAGGTCCATCCATGTTGTTGCAAATGGGATTGTTTCTTTTTTTTTAAGTATGTTTTTCCTACCAGACTATAAATGCAAGAAAGAAATTGTGTCCATTTATATTTATATGCAGAGAACTTGGCACATAGAAAGCCCTCAATAAATGTTTCCTGAATGAAGTGAAAGAATGCGTCTTTGACTTAGGACACTTCCTCACTAGAAGAGCCAGCAAAGGGAAGAACATATTTTGGGAAAGACAGGCTAGGAAATATAACTATGTCAGACATGAAAAAGAAAAGAATAGTAATTAATTTCAAAGAGCTAATGGCAACCACAATGATGGCAACTCCCACACCCACTACTAAAAGAAAAGACAAAAAAACAGACAAGATGTAATAGGATAGTCTGAGAAGGGGATAAATATGAATTTCATTGCAGCTCTGTTCAAAAGGAGGCACATGCCAAGCTATGTATATGAGACAAAGTTAATGATGAACTTTAGTAGCATTTTACCCATCTTTTCTCTCTTATGGGGTATGTATCAATTCCTACTTCATACAAACAACCCCCATTAAGCATGTTAACAAAAGGAAACAGAGATTAAGGATAATCTCAAATTATTATTACAACACACCTAGAAAAAGTATAGGATGAAATGGCATTAATATAAACTTATGCGGTTAAAACTATATCCAATATTGAAGAACAAAAATTTGGGTCTATAAATGATACCCCTCCCACTCCATCTTGGCTTTGCCCCTGATCTACCCAGTACCTGGGTGTCTTGCCCACTTTCCCCCACTCTATTCCAGTTTGAGAGCCACCTGTAAAGAGATGCTGAGACTGCAGTGGTTTAGAAGTCTTTTCCTCCCCAAATACACCTGTTCAAAACATTTGTCAGCACTTATTCTATAACTGTTTAATCTGCCCACAGATAGTTAAATAAATGTTGACCGTAATTATGTATGTACACCTTACCTCCCTATAACAATATAAATTCTTTTAGAAGAAACTCTATTTCTTATTCAGGTGCATATACAACACAGAGTTTCATAAATAACTGTGAATGTAAAAATGAATTAGTAGAATTAATAATCCAATCAAATGTCAAAACTTCAACGAGAGAACATCATATGTAAAAACTAGTAGTAGGGCCATAAGGTGCCTCTGGAAAGCTTTGGCAGGCCCCCAAGCCTGCATCATCTCCCCTGCCTCAAGACAGCTCTAAAACCAACAATGTAAACAGAAACAGTGGCTTAGTAGGCAAAGGAAACCTGGGATGCCTACGTTAATGCTGGTAAGTAACATAACTTTACAGGGGATGGAACATTTACTATTTCTTAATATTTAATTCCCTGAAATGTAACAGTAAAAAGAACTATTTATTGGGTATTTATCGCACCTCGAGTGACATTTAATTCTCACACCGAGCCTATTATGACACACTCAGACACCGCAGAGCTCGATCAGGTTTGTTGGATTCCTAGGCCCACCATTTCAACCTCTGTGCTCTAGATCCTCTGCTACCCTCACAAGCCCAGGCAATGCAAGCTTGCAATATCAAATTTACTAAGACTCAAAACACAGGTTTTTAAAAATGTTAGTTAATAATGATAATATAAAAATCAATGGACTCACAATGACAAATAGAATTAAATCTGATACTTTAGATTATATAAACTATCCTCAACACAAAGAAATGCTTTAATTATTCAGGATAACAAAATAAATCTTTAAGTTAAAAAAAATTCCCAATTCAACAACAAATAATCACTAGCTGTCCAATAAATAGTTGCATAGTATGTACTATATAACACAAAAAACCCACAAATAATCCTTGAGTTGTCTATAAGTCCAAAAATAGATATTTATATTTTAAAAGTAAATATAGCATTCCCCAAATTTACTATTTAATAGGGCCAAATTTTTTTTTTATGATATCTTACTTTTTTTTCTTTTGGGAGATTGGCCCTGCACTAACATCTGTTGCCAATCTTCCTCTTTTTCTTTTTTTTTTCTTTCTCCCGAAAGCCCCAGTACATAGTTGTGTACCATAGTTATAGAGTTATAGCTCTTCTATGTGGGATGCCACCTCAGCATGGCTTGATGAGTGGTGAGTAGGTCCACGCCCAGGATCCACACCAGTGAACCCTGGGCCATGGCCAAATCTTTTTTAAATAAAAAATATAAATATACCAATAAGTTAAGATTTTTGTATGTACTTGTATGAACAATACAATTAATCTGTATAAAAATATAATTAGGACAAGACAGATGCTCATCTAAAGAACTAAAATTCATAACTTTCCTTTGTAAGGCTGATTTACTAACATTAATTTTCAGTCATAGAGAATTATTAGTTGATAAACCTTAGGGACTGCCTTCCTACCTGCTATTGTGTATTGTGAACGTCAGGATGTTTTGCTTGGGTTTTGATTTTTGTGGAGGGAAGTGGTGTCTAATTTTGGTCTAGATTTTTCCCCACACTTGTAGAAAGCAAAATCAGTAATTTCCAAGATAAATCACAAGACAAATAGAAGAAATTTCCAATTATATCACTGATCACTTACCTAAGAGAAGTGAAAATAGACAAACAACCAATTAATTCTATTAGGAAACCTATTGACTTATGTGGAACCATCTGTAGCTATCTGGCGCAGCCAATGAAAGAGAAAATAGTACCTCCTTTTGGTGTCTTCAAGGTCGGCTGCCATTATTATGTGAATTCAAACACGTTATCATAAATAATTTGGAGTATCACAAAAACTCAATAGAGCTTGTTTGCAAAGTGTCCCAAAGCTCAAATCATTTCAAGTGCTTAAGAAGATAATCCCTTACAAAGTTAATGTGATCTACAATTGTTTTAAACAGTAAGATTTTATCTTCATGCTGAAAGGTAGAGAGAACTAGTTAACTCATAAAAAGCTACAAAAGCAACAGAGAGGGGAAAGAGAATTGTGATGCCATTTCTACCCACCATGGTGACTCATGACCTGCCCCGTGGCCTCCATGCTGACATTCTGGAGATAGTTGTGGCAGCGTTCCTTGTGCTCTTCCAATGAACTGCGTTGCTTGTAGCTTCGTCCACAGTAGTTGCACTTGTGAGGTTTACCCACTGAGGAGAGAGTTCAAGATTAGCGTGCTGTCGGTCTCATCCAAAGCAAAATTAACAGCTAACTTTTCATAGTCTGGAGGAAGGGTTTATATGCTTTTCAGACCTAAATCTCTTCCTCCTCCACACTCCAATTTAGGCAGGATCAGATAATACATTTCTACCAAGACTAAAAGCAAGAAAAGGCATATGGTACCTTCGGCGATCGGGGAAAGACTGAATCAAATTCATGCTCTGACTGTGTCCTAGATCATGAAGGGCTGATGATCAATCTTCTGATTATCTGACTCTTAGCACTAACACTTACTCTTCTACAATTCTCTCAGCTTTAACTCTTTCAAAAGACAAATCAGGAGTATCCTAGATACACGATGAGAATTATTTTTTATTTATTTTTTTGCGGGGGGTGAGGACAGAGATTTTTACTGAAGAAAACTACAACGCGACAACTTGAAATGTCATTGTTTAACGAAAATATTATTCATGGGTACCAAGAAGACTAAAAAGAATTCAAGTGATGAGAAAAAGTCGAGATAAAAGCAGAGAGTTTCTCTTTTCTTTCCATCTTGGTAATAACTATTCACACATGCAAAACTTTGCAGCAGTTTAGTGTATTCTCCCACATCAGCACTGTTCTTCTATTACCGAGAATTAACCTACTAGCTGCTTTGAGGCAGGATTATTAACAAGAACCACTGAAGCCCTGACATACTTATACGATGGCAGTAATATTTTCGAACACGTTTCATGTTCAGGAAATGAATTATTCTCTAATAGCCAGAGAGCCATACATAGCTCAGCACATCTGGTAAAATACTGCGATGCTCACATAAAAAAACTTTAAAAAATTGATAAAGGAAAAAAAACACATTTCTGGAAAGAAGCATGTTTTAATGTATGACTATTCACAAAGATATCACAGAGCACTTTGATTCTTGGTTTTAAAGGGATATGAAAAAACATAAACACCAGGTGGTCTGTGCCAAAGCCCTCAGTAGTAAAATGTAGCATGAACCAGGTCAGAAGCTCTCATTTGACTCCCATAGGAATCATTCTGTTTCAACCAGAGGACAATCGGACAACTCTTTTTCATGGTCCAAGACAACATCCCTAACTCCAGTCACCTTACAAACCTGTGCTATGACACTAGTCATAAGTGGAACTGACATACTAGAACAGGCAAGGTATTCACAGCTGCATAAAAACTTACTATACTGACTTAAAAAAATGCCTTTAGATTGTATTTGAGGTGCACATAAACTAAAATCAGTTATTTCATAATTATAATTTTTTGTAAACCGTCTTAAAAAAATCAAAGCTCTCTAAGGCAGGATTAGTCATTTCTAAAAATACTAGGCAAAGTAACTTCTATTTTTCAGAACTGAAAATTTCTGGGAAGTAGAAACCAGGTAGCTCTGTATGTTGTGAAGAATCTGTATCACTGTGTGAGAGCATTAAAAAATACGAGAAAATACTTCCAGTCAGAAACATTTAGTGTAAATACTATAAATATATTTACACGTAGTTGCATTCCAAGACATGGGGCTGCACAAAAAGCCTTTGTTTGCTATCACTATTACTCAATTTGGGGTTCTTTAGTGCTGTTTCTCTAGAAATAAGTGATGAATTTGCTCTCAACAAGTCTATTAACCCGTTAATATTAATAAGCACATATATCGTAGTTAATAGCCCACCATAAACTTGTTCCATCATCTCTGTCTTCCCCTTTATTAGTCCTGTTGCATTGTGTCCTATGAGACCTATGTTTCACTGTGAACACATCCTCCTATACTTTCTTCCCCTTACTTCTATAAGCAAACTTGACACCTTCTCCACTTAATTAAAACGTAGTTCCCTTCCCCTCCCCTTGGCTCACAACCCTCTATAAACTTCCAACTTACCTGAGAAGGAATAAAAGACAGTATATATTTTTTACTGCTTTCAAAACTCATTTTTTACTACCCTCATTTTTGAAGTCTATCCCATCTGCTTTACTTCAACTTATTCCATTTTGTCATCTATTTGTTTTACAATATCACTCTTTCTTCTTCATCCCATCCTTGTTCTCGATGTGTATAACAGGGATTTGAGTAAATTGTTCTAAAAGTAGAAGCTGAATCTCCCCGAATCTTCACCTGCATGCCACTCCAGCAATCCACATACACATGGGTGACATGGTGGACTTCGACATCTCTTATAACCTCTCTATCCTTAAGAAGTTTGCTTTAAAAACGCTACCTTATCCTTATACCTGTCTCATTTAAGACATATCTATTAAAAGCCTACTACGGACCAACACGGGGATGAGGCCAGAATGAAAAGTGGAGAACAAACTCTCACGGTGCCTATCCTCATGCCACTGACAGTCTGGTGAAGAAGACACACATTTGACAAGTGTACAAGCAATATATTACAAATTGTGGTAGATTCTACAGAGCAAAAGAATGGTGGGCTAGTACAACATGGAGAATCTAATTTAGTTTGAGAAACTTGGACAGGAAGGTCTGCCTGAGGTAGGAACATTTAGGCTTATAACTGAAGGAAAAGTAGAAGTTAGTCAGATTACAGAAGGGGGGTAGGGTGGAGGAGAGGCAGAGTTTCAAGATTTCAGGGAACTGCCATCATCTCTTTCTATTTGCTCTCATGTACTTAGTGCCTTCAAAGTCTAGATCATGCCCTTACTAATTTTTTTTTGTGAGGAAGATTAGCCCTGAGCTAACATCTGTTGCCAATCCTCCTCTTTTTGCTGAGGAAGATTGGGCCTGGGCTAACATCCGTGCCCATCTTTCTCTACTTTATATGTGGGACGCCACCACAGCATGGCTTGTTAAGTGGTGCCATAGTTCCATGCCTGGGATCCGAACTTGTGAACCCCAGGCCACCGAAGTGGAGTGTACAAACTTAACTGCTATGCCACCGGGCTGGCCTCCCTTACTATTCTTTTGAAAATTACTTTCAAACATCATCAACAAGCCCTGCCAAATCCAATGGCTCTACCAACCCCACAAGACCATTTCCTGTCAGTTCTTTGAGATTTCTTAAAACTCAAGTTCATGAAAATATCATTTATATCTACTCCCTATATATGATGAGTTTGTATAATACTTATAAACGATATGAGTTAATATATATAACATATATATAGGAGAGGACCAGTATTTTGCTACTTTTGTTATTATAAACATTATTACACATTCCCACCATCTGAAACACCTTCATTCTGATACATTACTGAATTACTAAAACATTTTTTAAAAGTCATCAATAGCCTCTGAATCACTAAATCCAGTGAACTTTAATCAATCCTAAATCTTCCTAATTTCTTGGTCACTAACAAACCTTCACGTGTCTTGCATCTCCTGTTCTCACTTTTGGGATCAGATTCTGTGTTTCCCCTTCACTGGCTTCTCAATCTCTTCCTACCTGGCAGATATAGATGTACCTCCAGACTGTGTTCTCAGTACAGTAGTCTCCCTCTTTTCCTTCTAGATTAAGCCCTCATTTCTATGAAACCTCCAATTCATACCTGAAATAATTTCGCATGTTTGTAAGCTCCTACTTGTCATTTAAATCTTTTAAAAACGATCTTGGTGAACCAAAGACAGAGTTTTCTCCTCTGTGCTCCCAAAGCACTCTGTCCATACTCTGTTGATACATTACCTATGATAATTGCATTGTAATTTTCCATCTGATATCTATCTGTTTCCCTAGTCCAAACAATGCGCTCTGTCATAAGGACAGAGGTCATGTTTTACTCAGTTTTGAATTGATAGTGCTTATGGTAGTTATCAAACATAGGAGAGACTCAACGTGTATTTGCTGAGTGACTGTACTTCCAACTCATACTTCCAAATGCCTTTTGAGGATTGCCTCATGCATATTCCTCTGAAATCTAAAATTCAACAGAGCCAAAATTATCTTCCTTTACAAAACTACTTCTTTATTCTATTTTTTTTTTTTGCTAGTGTTACCACTGTTTTAATATACCAGACTCACAACAAGACAGCCACTTTTGTCGCCTCCTACTGCTTTTCCCACATCCAAATATTGCTCAATTCTCTATCCTCAACTCCTTCAGTGTTTCTCAAGTTTATTCCTCCCTCTCATTCCCACAACCAATATCCCACTTCAAGTCTTAGTGATCACCAGACTGGGCTAGTATAATAGACTTCAAACCAGGTGTTCTCTTCTCTTGTATAATTACTTTACTCTCTTCCTCAACAACCTTCAACAACTCCTCACTTCTACTGAACAAAGTCTAAATCCCTTTACCTGGCATTCAGCTATACTATCTGGCTCCAAAGTATACATCCCATCTTCTACCCCAGGATCCAGCCAAAATTACCTTGCACTTATACACTTCTGTGTCTTGGTTCCTTCTGGAATGACTTCACACAATTTCTGCCTCTTGAATTCCTACTTCTACCTATCCTTCCACTTTCTACCTCCCTAACCCCGTTCCATCCAAAACTGATGCCACACTAAAGTGCCATAACTGTATTGGCCCTCACACTTAGGAAGTTTACAACATTCTATCTTGCATTATTTCTGGTTATTTATACATTCATTTTGATCTTTCATGTTAGACTGTGACCTTCTGAGAAACTGGAACAATGTCTTATATATCTTTGTAACTTCCAAAGAGTTTAGTATGGTGATTTGTTCACAGCAAAAACTAATAAGTGGAGTTTTCATAAAAGACATCATTTCTCAACTCTTTATTTTTCTCTCATTGGTTTGCCTTAAATTTGTTTCTAATCTTAAAAGCAATACATCCATATAGAAAATCTGCAAGTTCACCAAAAAATTATTCATAATTATATCATTCGAGATAAGTATCTTTAACATTCTTATATCATCCTCTTGTATTTTTTCTATGCATGCAAGGATACATTTTGTCAGAAAACTAGTTCATTTTATACACTGGGTTTTATCTGCTTATTTTACTGATCAATATATCTTGAAAATTTCCCTGTGTTATGAAATAATATTTTTTTTGTTGC